AAAAAAAAAAAAAAAAAAAGGGACCTCGTCACGTGCCGACCATGTGAGACTTCCGACGAGAATTTTGACTTTTTTCGCCAGAAAGACTGAAATTGTGCTGACTTTGTAAATTACGGGACTAAATTGCACAAAGCCAAATCGGAGTAGAAGCCAAATCCTAGCCCCAATTATTTTAATAAAATGTGGCCGAGTTTTTATTTAGTCCAAGTCCGATTAAGCTTCTCAAATGAGCATATAACTCCTAAGTCAACGTTGATTAAATCGAACCCAAGTCGATTTAGTTCATTAGCCCGATTTTAGGATTTTTGAAACAACGATAATTCAGCCAAGTGTAACTCGACCATTTAATTGAGCCGTCATTTTATTTAATCAAGCCGTCATATGTTATTTAGCAACATTCGAATTTATATTGGTCTGAACATTTAATTTCTGAATCAATGTTCGGTCAAGCCCAACAATTATACAAGCCCAATTATTTAAGGCCCAAAATACCAACCAAACCCTAATTCTCCAACCCCACTATAAATACATCATCTTCACCCATTCATCACCATCTTCAAGTCCGACCTTTTTTTTTCGGCGAGGTCGCCATTTTCCGGCGAATCCTAACCGCCGGCGAGCACCAACAGCTCGCGCGCCATCCCACCCGCCGGTTCTAGCCACTCCACCAGGTTGAGCCCTCATCCACGGCGAGCCAGGCCAGCTTTTGGCGAGCTCGAGCCTCACACAACACCTTCTCGCCGTCGGCAGCACCTCCCCATCGCCGCCTGCTCGTCGTCAGCCCGTCCACGCCGGCGAATCCAAACCAGCCTCAGTCCGCCGCTGTCGAGCTGTTCTTGCACCTTCTCGTTGCCGGCAGGTTTCAGTTCCAGCGCCGTCCATCCCGTCCGGCCCGAGTCCGCCGCGTTCAGCTCAGTCCGGGTCGATCAGCTTCATTTTTCCGGCGAACCTCTCCTTCCCGTCGCCGTCCTTGCAACGGCCCTGTCCGCCGGCCGTCCACAGCTCCTTCTCAGCCGTCCAACGAAGCCTGTGTTCACGCCCGTGAGCAGTTCGTTCGCTGCTGTGCACTCGAGCTCTCTCGGTCCAGATCCGACAAGCCACGAGCTGCCCCGACCAGTTCCTTACGCAGTGATTGGAGCCCTAAGTTTTGTGTTTTATGTTTTTCCTTTCCAGT